TATTTTATCACTTTCTATTTTTGTAATTTCCCAAATTTATAATTTTGGTCTTGAATTTTTATTATGACTTTTTAATAATTAAGCAATATCTGTATACATCTAACATATTATTTAAAATTAAATAGAAAATTCTAACAAGTGTTCATTAATGATATTATTCACAAATAGTTAATTAGTAAAAAGATATTAAAAATAAAATAATTAATTAATAGATTATAAATTTTAATTAAAATAAATAAGAAACATATTACATCTGTAAAAAAAATGTTAGTTCCTTAGATAGAGGTCGTGTAACCAATAAATATCAATTAATATCACTTATAATCACGTCGATATATATATATTTTTTTTATAATTTTGAATGATCTATTAATAGTGGATCAACATTGTTTAATTTTAAAAATTAGAACACCAGATTTATAATAAAAAAATCAAGAGACTAAACTTCACATTCGCAAAATTATTGGTATCAAAATTGAATTTAAATAAATGATTGTTTTAATTATTAAATATAGTTGTTCGAGTGAGGAATTTATCAGAATATATATATATATATATGAGGAGGGTTCAAATGACACCGGTGTAACTTTTACTAAGTGTTACACCGCTCAATAACTTTATATTAAATATGAATTTTGAAAATTCAACCGTTAGATTGAAAGTTCATATCTCTTAGATTATATATATTAAATTTTATATTAATCTAAGATGATTTGATACTTCATTCTCGTAAAACAAAATTGACGGAATATATACATTTCAAAATATACTAAAATATTAACACTTTGATTACCTTGAAGTTGTTGTTCAAATTTAACAAAATTTGATATATATGATCTAAGAGATATGAACTTTCAATCTAACGGTTGAATTTTCAAAATTCATATTTAATATAAAGTTATTGAGCGGTGTAACACTTAGTAAAAGTTACACCGGTATCATTTGAACCCTCCTCATATATATATATATATATATATAAGGAGGTGTAAGTACCCATCTCATTAAACTTAATCGCTGTCGTCCAAATATGGGGTTACTATCCAGTATTCACACCTTCCATATTACTATTTAAAACCTCATCTTTTTAAGAAAAATTAATTTTTGATGAAAAAATTTCTAATGTTGAACATCACCCGCATTATAATTGAAACAAGTATCCCTTACCTATATCACCACCTGCTTTAGAGTTCGGCCTATTTGAAACTTATTATTAAATTCCACTGTTTTGTAAATAAATTTTTTTAATTTATTTTACTTAATCTTCACATTTTTTTTTTACCGGTAGTTCTTTTTTTAAGTTAGAATTAACTTGTTTATCTTACATATCAATTATTCATTAAAAATTTTTGTTACAGTTCATTTTTTTCATGTATTAAAATATAATAAATATATGATTTTATAAAAAATAAAAATTCTTTATTTTATTTTTAATTATAATTTTTATTATTTTTTAATATTTGGAAAAGTAATTTATAAAATAAATGGTTGAGATTTAAAATAAATAAATGGTGCAGATTTTTTCTTTGTAGTAATTAAACTCTAATTTGATATAAGAGACTATTACACCATTTTTTAATTTATGTATTTTATATTTGTTTGGACCTGATTAAAGTCATTAGTTATGCACGTACCCAAAATAAAAGGCTTAGGAAAGCACTAATGAAGAATTCTATCTAAATTCATAAGTTTTCAATATTCATTTTAAGCTGAAACAAAACAGTTTGCCACAGCATAAATCTATAACAAAGAGAGATAAAATATTACGAAATGATCTATATACTGACCCAAGTTTTGTGTAGAAAACCAGCAAATGGGTCCAATGAGAGCCCATGTATGATTGTATTCCAAGAACTTACGTAAAGCGATGCAAGATATTTTGTGAACAAATATGGATAAGATGATAAATAGTGGTTCATAAGAGTGAAGTACAGGGATAGTGTTTTATTGGTCATCAGTGGATGGCATCTTGCATCCCAAACTCACCATCATTTCAGGGGTGGAAGACAAGTCCACATTGCTTATTCGGTTGGAACATAGGCAAGAACAGAGTTAGTGACAAACCTCAAATTAAGTACCATGATATTGATCTTACTTTCTCATCTTCTCTGGTTGATAAAACATTTTTGAAAGGTACTGTCTTTTTTTTCTATCTCTTCACGTTTTAAACTATTTATCAATGGAATTATATTACTGGTCTAGTGGTGGATACACAAAATTTTAGATTTTAACCTGCTGCTATTTTCATTATTGTAATTCTTGTGGATTAAAAAAAACACCCTACTTATCATTTATTACTACGCATCTATGTATGAAAAACTGATAGTTCCATTTTTTTCACGTATGCTATCTGAAACATACATAGACTCTCATATACTTTACCGATAAATATTCAAAATATTTCTGAGATTTGACATAATTTGGATCAGGGAAGGAGCTCAAGTGCTGCTATAGGGCTACAATTGATGGATTCAGTGCAACAAATTTCCATGAATGTTGTGACTTCAAGGGTCCATGTGTGATAATTGGCTACACAGACAAGTCTTTCAAGTTTGGTGCATTTAACCCTGAAGGCTATAGAAGCACAGATGACTACTACGACACATTCGATGCCTTTCTATTTTATTGGATAGAAAATGAAACTAAACCCATCATTTTGCCCAAGGTTGGAGGAAGTGGTGCAGCCCTGTTTGATTATGCACGTGGGGGCCCACAATTTGGGGCAGATGGGCTCCTCATTGGGCCCCCATTAGCCCCAGTTATGGGTGGCTTTGCTGGGCCTGATACCAATTCTGGCATTGGTGACCTAAGGCAAGCTAAGTCTAGATTGGGACTGTCTTACGCCAAGAGAGAGGATGGCAAGGAGTCTATTTTTGGTGATGAGTCAAGGGCTACCCTTCAAGAAGTGGAAGTCTTTTGCAGTCCTAAAATTGCAAGCTTATATTAGAATTGCACAACGGGGATAAGGAATACTTTGTAATACCTTGTTGCCTAAAATATGCATAAAATATAAGCTAAGTCTAAAATATGCATAAATGTAATACTACTACTCCTACCTTGTTGCCTTTCATAGTTTCATGAGTGCTGTCCACGTCTATAATGAGTCAATGTTTATATTGTAATATTTTATGCATGAATAGCCACTTAGGGTTTAGGCCTTTGATCTCATCTTCCACTAGAAAGATTCACCAAGAGATATATAAAGTGCCAATAGCTATATAAATTAACTCCCATTGAGGATGCTTTTCACTCATTTCGTTTTCAACTCTGCCAGTGGAGAATAATGGTTCAAGGATTAATTCTTTCTTAAACAGCCACATAAAAACATTGCTTAGCGAGGAAAAAGCCACATAAGTACTTTTAGACTGGATGGTAGGTTGGTGGCCGGAATCTGTCACAGCCTTTATCAGATTATTGATCTTTTTGCTTTTGAAGGGTTTTGGAATTGTTAGCCCTTTAAGAAAGTGTTCCTCAAACTCTTGCATTGGTGACATGCATTCTTGCCAAGATGGACAATGAGAAGATGCTGGGGAGAAATATGCTTACTTCAGATGAAGGCATAGATATGTGTACTTCATTACTCCACAAAATATTTATCTATTATTTTATAATATTAAGAAAATATTATTTTCTAATTTGATATTTATTCTCAATATGTTTACTGAATAGAATGAATAATAAATATTCATGATATCAAAAGAATAACTAATCAGATTATTTATATTTTTTTTTACAATTAACGAGTGTACCTCTGGACAAGATCCCAGCCTAACCTTATCATTCTTGAAATTGTTATAACTTCTATTGTTATTGACAAATAGAGGAGTTTGGTGAATAAACTTTATCACTAGGGCTGTGGAAGATAGATAAGTCAATGCTAGATTTTGAAGTAAAACTTCAATTAAAAGAAAATGTCACTAAAAATTATTAAAAGAACTCTATATAAGTTTTATTCCTATAAAATATCCTTTATTCTTCTGCATTCTGTGCCTGCAAAGATGTATTGGAAACCTGACAGTGTATTCACCTAAGTGTTTTCTTAAACTTGGGAAGCTCTGTGTGAACAACGAGTATTTAATAAATTCCTTAATCGTGGAGAAAAAACTTTTAACGTATGAAAAGAGACATTTTAAAATAGAGATAATAGATGGTGGCTTCATGGAAACTTGGGTGCAGCTTCTTGTGGGTTGAATTGAATTGACAAGCACTGGCAGAGAAGTGTATTTTATTAAGACCCCACCAAAATTAAGCTTTTGCAAGAGTTCCGGTAGGAGAGAAATAATGCACAAAGACCTTCTATATAATACTAGAAGCAGATTGATTTTAAGCATCTAAAAATAACAAGATTTTGTTGAGAAGGAAAATTCTTTCCTTTTCAATAAAAAAAACTTTCTAGTTGTTTAAAACCAGTCTTAAGCCCTGCCCGATGTTAAAAAACATCGATGATACCATTGTACTGTGTGGAAGTTTATATACAAATATACAGCAAAAATGACAACGGTGTTTAAAAATTTAAATCACAAATAGACTAAAACTGTTTAACTACAACTTAACCGAGTTATTTGAACAATTGAGTTTTTGAAGGTATACTTTTGCTGTCTTCATTAAAATAATAAACTTGTAAATATGTTTTATGAACAGATAGCAAATAAGAGAGATATAGATACCAATTATGCATGACTGTTATTTAAGTCAAATTTTGCCTCTACTTGAGTTCATTAGCTAGCAATTTTAGTAATCAATTGTTTAAGAATGATCTTAAATGATATTTGAGGAGGTGACTGAACAAAGAGAATGATTGAAAAAAATGATAATCACTCTTCTCATCGATCTACAATTTTACTTTATTAGAATTATTGAAGTGAATATCACTATTGGTGAATAGTTATTTTAACTGTTAGATTAGTAAGTGTCTTTACAAGTGACTAGAGAAAAAGCCAAATGCTACACTGTACAATCACCACAGTGAACACACCTCTGAAGTGGTGGGATGGCAGAGCCTAAAAGCAATTCCTCTTAAGTCACCCCACTGATTGAGTTGTAAGATGGTAGAATTTCTCAATTACCACTAAATGATGAGTTGACATAGTTTTTTCTTACCTCACAAAGTATTCCAATAAAATATTCATTGGTTAAAGCTGCTAATTTATTGATAGAGAATCCATTAAAAGGTCATCAAAACCTATCATCCCCCACTAATAATCCAAAAAGGACGAGCCAGCAGAATATTGGATGCTAAGCAAAACAACTGTACGGTGGAATGTCTTGTCAATTCCAAACGTAGAATTCAATTTTACCTTTATTTTAAAGGAAAAAAAAACAAAAATGAAATGACCACTATATCTGGCGGCTGAGTTGACTGAAAGGTAAAACAAAGAGTCATGTTATTCACAAGCATAATGTAATTCCTTTTAGTTTTGTCTTCTACTTTCAGCTTTTCAAGATTAATAAGCATCTGTACCATTGTTTATTTGGGGTACACAAGCATCTTGAACCTTTAATTATACTGCATTGAAATTTTGATATAGAGCAATGTGACTAATAGAATCTATTAGACAAGCATTTGAGGGGCTAAAAAAACACTTGTTGAATATATATGAATCAGAAAGGCAAGGAAACCGTGTGAACACAAACCTTAGATACGAGATAGTAAGGGAAAAGGAGTTTGAGGCTTTAAAGCATTTATATGAAGTTTTCCTCCATTATATAACATTATTTTATAGAACCACAAATACAGATGGCTGAATGTAAACCAACTCCGGCAAAATGGATAAAAGTGATATTGCCTGGGGATCTTACTAACAGTGTAAATGAGAAACATAATCAAGGGCACTTCAAGCAGAAAATAATTTCTGCCTGCTACACAACAAGGTGATTCTACTCATTATTTATCACTCCAAGACATACATTAAAAGGCGTTGTCTCAGATATTCCTTATAAAGCCACACCAACTGAAACTAAAGCTAACTAGTCCCCACAAGGATTTATGACAACCCTTCAAATTAGAACATGTTGAAACCGTGCATCGCAAGAAAAGTGAGACAATGATCTTCCTTTGTTTCCAGATTTCAAAAGGGTTCTGGATATGAGATTGAGTTAATTAGATCATAGCCTTCATAAGGGACATCCCCATTTCCATTCCCACTTCCATAAAAGCCCATGGAATTCCATTGTCTTGAGTAAGGCGACATGCAGCCAATTTGACTGAGATTATCAGAAAATTCAACTTCTCCATTGAAATTTGAGTAGGACAAACTAGATGAAGTTTCTGGATGTTCCAATGATTGCCATGGTGTCATCACACTTGGTAGGTCATACCGCGGAAAATATTCAGCTACAGCATCTTGTAATTGAGGGTAGTCCTGCAGTTAGTGAAGGAAAAATGTCAGTAATTAACATCTCCAAAACCTACCAATTCAATTTAAACTTTCTTTGTTCTTATGTAGATAGATACCTTTGAAGAATCAAGAATCATATCAGGGGAGATCCAGAAGTTCGAAGGATTGGTTTCCACAGAAGGTTGATTAAACTCTCCCATAGGAGCCACATTGGAAGGAGAAGTAATAGGGCTTGAATAACGACTGTCATTATTCAGGTGACTTGCTTGAGAGGAAGCATCACCAGAGTTGCTGAATGGCTCACTAGAGAATCTCATTGAGGTGTCACTCCCTTTCATTGAACTGCTTCCAGCCCTCTTGCCCTTGTGTTCTACATGTGAAGCACTTGCCTTCTCATTCTTCTTAATAACCCGGCACAAAGCAAAACTACCCTACATTGACAACAAACAAACCAACTTGAGTTAAGGCCAACAAATTACAGAAGAAAATAAAAACCAGAATGAATCTAATTCCTTCCGTAAGTTAAAATTAACTTATGCATCTTAGCTTTCTGAGAAGCTAGCCATTTACAAATTTGAAGTGTATAAGTTGATTTTAAGTACTTTCAGATAAGTTTATCCGATCTTGGCCTACAGTAAATTGTACCTGGAAACATGGTGTGGCTTGGCCAAGCTCATCACAGAGGCGATACTCATGCATGACCCAATCAGTTCTATCACCTAAAGGGGCCCTCCCAAGATAGAAAACCAAGGTCTTGCGGTACCCTGTAACAGTGGATGGATTAGACTGGCACACCACCTTTCTATCTTTTCCGGTGGCTTTCCAATACCCAGCTTTGGTAGCTCTATTTGTTCTTGATCCATTTGGATACTTGCGATCCCTTGGACAAAAGAAAAACCATTCCAAATCCCGTTTTGGAAGGAAAGACTTCTCTGCATTTTTCACACCACACAAATTAGCCTTCTCACATTTCCTCATGGGAAATAAAAAACAATAAATAAATAAATAAAAACATTGCTTTTTCCAAAGCTTGACTAAAGAGATCCCATTGAAGCCGCTTTTACAGCTCAGAATGATTAACCGCTAAAGAAAAAGTGAAGAAAAGAAAAACGGGCAAAACAGTGATGTGCTATCTTTCTAGTATTCATAAAGTTGCGTTTCACACTGGTCTGGTCCATATTCCATACACTAAGCTAAAGCTAAACCTTGCATTGCATCAGAAAGGTTCCCTTTTTACGTGTCTACACAATAAGGGTGCAAATCAAATGATCAAAATGTGAAATTGAAGATTACCCGGCAACTCCCATGGATCAAATTTGTAAAAATCAATGACGGGGATAACTTCAAGCTCAATTTCAAGCCCCTCCACTTTTCTCTTAAGGTAGTATCCCACTAGTTCTTCATCAGTTGGATGGAAACGAAATCCTGGTGGAAGTGATGCCCCTCCCATGTTTGTTTCTTACTAGAAAGAAAGACTCACAAAAAATTGTGATGATGATGATGATGAAGAAGAAGAAAAAAGTAGCCAAAGCAAGAGAACAAAAACAAACCCCACCCCCAAAAAAAGTAGCTTCCAGGATCTTTTGGAAGGATTAGGATTATAATTATTGCTAAGTGCCAAGACTATATCTATTAAAGATCTGGAAGATCCAGAAATAGAAACTTTTGTCAACAACAGATTTTTTGTCAAATGTCAAGTAACACTTCCACAGAGTGCATCCATTAAATGCAAGGATCATCGTCTTGAGGAAATTATAAATCTCTTATGGCACTCCTATCCCCCACCAACCCCACCACCACCCTTTAGTTTCAAAACCCTGAAAGCTAGAACAAAAAGAATGAAATTAACTTAGCAGCACCGATTAAGTTTGCAAAGCAAAAATGAGAACAAGAATGGGAAGCTAATCAAAACCCAGAATTTAGAACGAACAAGTTCAGAACAACACTGAAACTGGGTGAGATCAGAGATATGTCCCACTTTGACAAAGTGATAATGATGTGTCAGTTTTTGAAATGGGGAAGATGAGAGAGTGTAGAGTAAAAGCATTAGCCACTGATTGTGTGCTATTTATAGCATTTGAGAAGGGAACCAAAAGTCCAAAATTGAACACACCGAAAGTTTGAGATTACTTGTCTCAAGTGCACCCAAAATTCCAAAGCAACATGGCCCACCACTCCAACCAGTTCAGTGTTCACACTCAAACCTATACAAACTAAGCTTACTTCCCGCCAATTCAAATAATTTACCGTTATTTTATGGCTTCAATTTCATGAGTTTTGGGTTCTTCCCCGAGAGCTTGTTCCTTTGTATCTTAGTTGAAGAATGGATTTCAACACCAAGTAATGATTTAGCTTGCCTTAAATCAGTACCAAAAGCATAGGGCTATGTCTCTAATTTCATCAAAGTGCGTTTCAATTTTCAAAGTACCTTGATTCTTGATGAGTGAGTATATTCAACATTGACCCGTATAAGCCCATAGAAAATGTTGAAAGTACAAAATTATTATCCATGAGTCTTAAAAACCAATCTTGTAGAATTTCTCCCTCTCTTTTCGGGACTTATTACCATTCTCTCTGTTTGAATCTCTGCTTTTTTTTCTTCAAACTCATAAAGTGCGCCTTAATGTGATGCTGATAACATTATATAGTGCGTAATTTTTTGTTTTTGAAAGGAAATCAAAAGGTTAAAGGCAGTCACTTGTATTAAAGTGATAACGTTGTAACCTTAGTGACTATTGATTTACCATTGAAGTAAAGTTGAACAAAAACAAGAGAAAATAAGTGATTCACTATAATTTTACAATTATCTAATTATTATCGATAATAAGTGGTTGGTTTTTATAATAAATAAAAATTACAAACTAATAATATCGGATTACTTGATCAGTACATGAAAGCTAACCTCTACAAATAATTTGGAAAAAGTTTATAAAAGAATTGCATTAAAATGTGTTTTTTTTTTAGAAAATGTAAAAATTAATTGTGCAACAATGAAACAAAGAAAGCCTTGAACTACGTATTGAATTACTAAGTAATTATAATTTCATGGTATTACATTATTAAAGTGTCTCTCCTTCGTTTTTTTTAAGTTACTGTTAGTACCTTTATTTCAGTCTTCTTTCTTTCCCTTTCCCTTTTTCTGCATCTCCATGTTCTAATGAGAAAATTTTCATGTTCAGTGTAGCTTAAGAGTAAGACCCATGTATGTTTCGTCTATGTTTCGCAGAGAAACTGGGACTTGGCCAAGCAATAATTCGAAGATACAACTTAACTAATTTTGAAGAATTTAATTTTGATAAAATACACTTAACTAATTAAAAATTGTTTTAGATATAATTATTATAAAAATTAACGATTTTAACCTACATTATAATTAATAAATGGATAATAATGTAAAAAGTAATTAATTATCATTCTCCATTCTCATTAAATTTTAAATTGAAATATCTTTTTTGGTACAATAGCTTTCAATTTTCAAGTGCTCCACCTTGGAATACACACAATTGATTTGATCGGAGCTTTCCCAATCTTTAAGCTCGTTAGGACCTTTTATACAAATTAATTAGTAAAGGCTAAATATTTGGATCCCTAACCAAAAGAATATCTAAATAAAATGAAAATATACTATCAACAATAGTGGCGAGCGTGAATCACATTTGATCGAAAAATCACTGAGTAATCCACATAGTGTGTATATGATATCAGTCAATAATTATATGACATATTTAATTTTTAAATAATTAATAATATTTATTGCATATTACGTAAAGACTAATTAAGAAGTATATAGTTCAAAATCTATTAATAATTTCATCATTTGATATGTTTAAACAACATTAGTGGTTGCACATTTTAAATTGAATTGAATATATCTAGAGTACACTGTAATATTAAAATAATATTTGTTTCATTTAATTATAAAATTTTCATGTATAATAAGATTTTCCACAATTTCTTCATAAAGATTCACTATAGTTTAACAGAATTTAATCTTTTTATCTTTAAAAAAATGTTAATAAAAAAGTTATAGCTTTAAAGAACTGGTATGAACTGAAAATGAATAAAAATGGGGAGAGAGAGGCTACCGTCAAGTTTGTGGCACGTCATCCTGAATGGGACAAAATGGCTTTCTAATTTAAAATTGAAAGTGATTGTGTCATCAAGTGGGACCAACCCTCCAAAAAGTGCTTAATCAGTTTTTCATCTTTTTTCTACCTTCCCAATTCACATGTAAGATGTAACTAAATAAATGTAAATGCTAAGGCAACCAAACTCCCTTTCAACTCTTTTTACTGGGGCCAGCCTGGGACTGTTAACTCAACCAAAATCTTGGACAATATTTAGTGGAATATCTTGCATACTTATCAGCAAAAGAGCAAAAGGGCAAACTAATTAAAATCTTTGCTTTAATCACCATATGCTTGAGTTGGTTTACTCTTAACTATGGGATTTCTATAACTTTTACTCTCTAACCACTATCAATTTGTTTGTGGAATATTGGAATCATATGGGTAGTTGGGGATGGATGACTAGCTTCTTTATCTTCAGAAAGGACAAGATTACGTGTTCCTTGGCAATCTTTTAAGTTTTTTTTATATGTATTTTTAAATATATATATATAACTGAGTTAAGTTTTAAAAATTATACTGTTTGATTTAGTTGTAATTGTAGTGGTGTAATTGGGAGGTTTCTGAAATTATAATACTGAGTATAATTACTGAAGCACTACTATGATATGATGAGGCAAAGCAAAAGCAACAAGAGAGCATGGCTTGGAAGTACCTTGCACTCTTTTTAGATGTGAAAAAGGCAAAAAAAAGAAAATGAGCTCAATAATTAAGCATAATTGCTGTGTTATTAAACTATACTCTGGTTTGTTGGATCCCACAACCTATTTACTTTGCAGTAAATTGTAGATTTGTCACAATTTTGCCTGTCAGAATAAATAGCAGTGTCCATGATTACAGGCTCTTTTTGTTATGCGGAGGCTTGTTTCTATTTGGAGATTGATAGTCACTATACATTTTGGCTTTCTAGGACATAGTTATAATTTATTGACCCTTAAAAGGAGTTTTGCGTTCACATACTGGGTGGGAGAGAAAGAAAAATCAAAAAGGCTCAAAGAACTAATGTTGTACAAGGATTATATATTTACTTTCACCAAGATTTTGCCTCGTGTATCATATTCCATTTAATCCAAATCCTTGGCCTTATCTTCTTATGTTCTATTCTAAATCATATCAATAATCTCGAACTGCTATAGTGAATCTATTTGGTTAGGTTTGTGAAATTATATATATGGAGGCAGTGGCGGACCTTCTCTATGACAGGGGAGCCACGGCTCCCCCAAACTTTTCCAAATTTTCATATATATATATATATATATATA